GAAAAGGACTTTAAACCTGATGGGTAAAGGCTGAAGAAATGGGAAATTTCAGAAGTTACTTGTAAAAACAAAAACTATTATATCTGAAATTTTGAAAAAATATATATCATTGACTGGGATTAACAGTATATTGGATGCAACAGAAGAAAGGACCAATGACTTAAAGACTAGTTAAGATAGAAATCATCCAAACTAAGGCACATGTTAGAAAAAGGTTAAAAAATAGACTCAGTGACTGGGGTGGGGGGGTGGTATCAAGTGATCGACAATACACACACACACTGGAGTTCTAGTATCAGACAGAGAAAGAAAGGGAAAAAAATTGTATGGAATATTGGCTGATTTTTCCCCAAAATTTGATTAAAAACAGCAACCCAGGGATTTACAAAGTTCAGCAAACCCAAGCAAGAAAAAAAAAATCACACCTATGCACATTACACTAAACTGCTGAAAACCACAGATAGGAAAAAGTTTCTTAAAATCATCCACAGATGGGGCGCCTGGGTGGCTCAGTTGGTTAAGCGACTGCCTTCGGCTCAGGTCATGATCCTGGAGTCCCGGGATCGAGTCCCGCATCGGGCTCCCTGCTCAGCGGGGGGTCTGCTTCTCCCTCTGACCCGCTTCCCTCTCGTGCTCTCTGTCTCTCGTGCTCTCTGTCTCTCATTCTCTCTCTCAAATAAATAAATAAAATCTTTAAAAAAAAAAAATCATCCACAGATACAGCATCCATTGCATACAGGGATACAACAATGAAAACCATGGTTAACCTCTTATCAGAAACCTGGGCAGGAAAAAAATGAAATTACATCTTTAAGGAGCTAAAAGGAAATTACTGTCAAGCAAGAATGTTACATGCAACTAAAATATCTTTCAAAAATGAGGACCAGGGATGCCTGGATGGCTCAGTCGGTTAAGCGTCTGCCTTTGGCTCAGGTCATGATCCCTGGGTCCTGGGATCGAGTCCCACATCGGGCTCCTTGCTCAGCGGGGAGCCTGCTTCTCCCTCTGCCTGCCACTCCCCCTGCTTGTACTCTCACTCTCTCTCTCTAGCAAATAAATAAATAAAATCTTAAAAAAAAAAAAAAATGAGGACCAAAAAAAAGACATTTTTCAGGCAAACCAAAGATAGACCATTAGATCACCAGCAGACTTGTACTGCAAGAAATGCTAAAGGAAGATCTTCAGGCTGCAAGGAAGTGATACCAGATGGAAATTTATATGGACAGGAAGGAATGTGAAGTACAAGAAGTGGTAAGTATGTGGGTAAACAGGAATTTTTTTTTTCTTTTAACGTTTAAAAGTCAGTGGACTGCTTCAGGCAATAGCAACCACACTGTGCTCCTAGGTTTACAACATGAGAACTAAAATACATGGCAACAGCAGCATGAAGAACAGGAGGCACGTAAATGGAATGACATCTCTGGGAGGCTTCTGCCTTCTCTGGAAGTGGTTTTAATATTGGTCTAAGGTGGACACTGACATGTGAAGGACACAAACCGTAAATCCTGAGCAACCACTAGAAATGCAGTATGAAGAAGGATGATAGAGTGCATGCCACAGCTTGAAATTGTTCCGTGTACCACTCTTCCCCTGCTCCCCCAGCCCAGCCACCCAGGATGGCCTCTTTTTCCCTGGAATCCAGCCAGGCACCGCCAGGGCGTGGGGCCCTACTCCAGCACTCCTGTCTAGCACCCCTTGGCCATTCCAGATAGCACCATCCCCGTTTCCCAGCACCAGATCAGGGTGTGGCCCACCAGAGGGGCTCTGTGTTTGTGGAAAACCTGGCCCAGGGCGATGCTTTCAGCTCCCACCAAGGGTGCAGTTCCTTCCCTCCACCCGCACTGCGCCCCAGCCATCCAGCAGCACCCCAGCCATCCTGGCCTCCAAGTCTCCCGTTCCCTGCACGGTGCAGACGGCTCGGGGGATAGACAGCAGAATAGCACAAGTGGGCAGATGCTCTGCCGCCTCTCACCTGGATAAATCATGGCGCGAGAGGGGGCTGGAGCCCTGACACAAACGCCACCGTGGCCTCTTTGGATTAAAAGTCCCTAGACTGCTAATTAGCCACGGAGCCCTGGAGGCCAGGTCCTCCGGGAGCAACAAAGGTCGATGGATTACGGTGTGGTTTCAGCTAACCTCCCAGCTCTGTGGTCCCAAGTGGTTCCCCTCCACTCCTCATTAGAGAAGCCGCCAGGATGAACGGCCCGAAGGTCTGGGGTTTGACACGCTGCCACGACTGACCCCACGGGAGCCCAGGGCCCGGCCGGCTGAGTCCTCGCCGCCTGTGCGTTTCTTCTGCTGCATCCGTGATGTCTCACAGACAAGGATGCTGAGGCACAGCCGCCATGGCCCAGGGCAGGACGAGAACAAGGAGGTCCGCGTGGTCTGCGTGCACAACGGCGAGACACGGACGCTGCCCGGTTGTGATTCTGGAGGGAGTTACAGGGAGGCGATCTCCAAACTGGGACCATCCAGGGCCCCTCCTGTGCCGTCGGCCCCATCCATGCACCAGCCAAACCGTCCCCTGTTCGGCATCTTGTATCATACTGACTTGCTCTTGACGGAAACGCATGTTGAGAGGATGCTTCAGGACCGACAACAGGAGGCCAGCACCACGAGCCCTAACCGGCAGGTGGGACGCCAGTGCCAGACCAGTTAGGCCCCCAGGTGTCCCCTCCAGTCAAGGACCTTGCCGGGAAGAGCCTCCTGGAAGGCAGAGCCAGGTTTGAACCCGATCCCGGCAGCTGTTAACCGTGACTGTGGGCAAGCCACCCAGCCTGAGGGAGAGCTTGCGCTCTGTGGCACCAGGTCGCCGACGCGCCACAGGGTGGTGGGGTTTAAATACGACAGTGGATATACCTGTCGTCAAGCACAACAGGACTTGAGAGACCAAGAGGGCAGCGTCCGCGGGCCAGCCAGCCTCCCCCGACCCTGGGCCTTGCCGAAGTTCTGTCTCCCCTGCTGGACCCAGGACTGTGTGGATGGTGTGCCCGGTCGTTCCAAACAGCCATGGAAACCATTTCCTGCCTTACAGCCCAGGCGACAAGTCAGCCAGGAGCTAGGAAACCCACCATTCTCCCGAATTCAATGTGTTCCTCGTGGCTGCCTCTTCCTGACAACAGAGCCCACTGGAAACCCCCCCAGGGAGGTGCCGGCCAGAACTGAGCTCTCAGCCTCTCTAGGCTGGGCTGCCCCCCCCCCAACACGGGGTCCTCCCGCGGGCGCCCTGGGTCGGTTTGCCCGGCAGCTGTGCCCCTGCCTGGTGACCCTCAGTGGGCAGCCACCCCAGGAGCGGAGCTGAGAGGGAAGGAGCACAGCGTCGCCTTCCAATCCCCTTTGATGGGGTGACAGGTCTTTAACGGGGAGATGTGGGTGGGGGTCATCTCTGAGGCAGGAGTGGACCCCTGCTGGCCAGGGACACAGAGCAGGGGGAGGAGGACGGAGAGGCTGGAGGCCACTCCCCTGCACACCCCCCAGGGCCCTCTCCTCTGGGACTCTTCCCCACTCCCAGCCCCGCACACTCTGACCTCAGCCAGGTCGCCGTGGCCAGCAACCCTCTGGCCACACACTCCCGTGGACACGTGCGTGCTGAGATGCCACAGCGAGCGTTAACGCTGACAGTGACCTCTGGGCAGGGGCACAGTGGGGCTGGTGGCCATTAAGAAGTGGTACCTGGAACCAAGAGGTCGGATGCGGGCGACACGGCCTCCCCAGGCCATTTCTGCTGTTCTGAGTGGTGTGCGGGGAGTCTTCAAGATGTGGCAAGTCTCCTTGCAGCACAGCCCCCAGCTGAGGACAGGTGTCACCCAGGGGCACCCAGGAGAGCTGAGGTCATCCAACACCCCCTCCTGACCCCAACCGAGATCCGTGGCTGAGAACGTGCCCTTGGGGTTTTTCAGGGCAAACCATCCATCCCAAGACTCAGTGGGGCGGCTCATTTCCTCGAGGGCCAGCCCCACCCGGCCAGCTCCCCTGTGCTGCACCGAGCGGAGGCGCCTCTCAGGGAAAGGGATGAGTTCATTCTCGTCGCCCCGAGTGAACCAAGAATATCCACCCCACGGAATACTGCACTGCGGAAGTCACCAGGGGACGCTGTGCGGAAAATGAAGGGCAGGACAGTGCACACCGATGTGACCTTTTATGTAAAACTGGAAAAATAATTTCAAACAGAAACACGTAGGACTTTTTTTTTTTTCCAGAATCAAAAGATTTGCTAACAGCACTTCTGGGGAGAAGATCTAGCAGGGAGGGGCAGGAGGGGGGGTTTTCGCTTTCTGTGATATTTAGATTTTCTGGCCTTGCGTATCACTTAGGATTTTTTCTTCACCTCACCTACAGTGACCTGGCTGACGAGATTATGGGTGTTTTGTTCCCTATAACTAAAAATAACCTGCACATGTAAGCGTCACAGCCTTGACAAAACACCCGTGTGGTGATGAGCACCCGGAGCAGCTGGATTTCCGGTACAGCCAGGAGTTGGCGGGACCAGCTGCACTCCTGGGGGTGAGCACCCCCTCACATGGGAGTCAGGCGAGCCAGAGCCAGGCCCCTGGGAGGCCGGACGGTCCAGGCACTTCCTCCACCTTCACGATGAGATGCTGCAAGAGCTCCCGTGCTCCTTCTGGAATAGAGATGCTGAGCACAGACGTGACCTCGTTTACAACACAGACCCAGCACTCCGACGGGGCAGGGGCGGGAGGGACGTCAGCTTCTGCAGCATCCCGTGTGGGTGTAACTATCGGGCTGTGTTACCAGGGGAATCCGGAGGAAGGCACCCCAACCCGCAGAGTCTGTGGTCCCCGGAGGAGCTCCTCTCGCCTTGGCCCCCACGCCCGGCCTCGGCTCACGGGGCAGCAGCAGCTCACAGAACCTGCTTCTGCCTCTTAGGGGTCTGGGGCGGCCGCAGCTCTGCCGGCCCGTGGGCAAACGGGCAGCCGTCTGAAGGCAAAACACAACCGTCAGGGTGGTGACTGAAGAACCAGCAGATGCGGGTCTTGAAGGCCTCCGAGAAGAGCCTCCGCTTGGCCTCTGGGCACTGCTGCCTGTGCGGCTTCTCCTCTCTCCAGTCGCGGATGTGAACGCTCCCATTCAGAACTGTGCTCGGGACAAAGAGAAGACATGGCCCGGGTGTTCTCCTCCGAGCCCACCGACTCACCAGGGCCTGGGGCGGCAGCCCCCCAGACACCGGCCGTCCGAGCCCGGAGCCTCAGCCCGGCGGGGCAGGCAGGGGGGTGGGAGGGAGGGCCCGAGGGAGCAGGCGAGGAGCAGGCTGGGGGAGCCTGGAGGGGCCAGCGTCAGGGGTCAGGGGCCGTCAGGAGGCGCACGCTGGACACCAGGGGCTGGGGTGAAAAACCGTAGGGAAGCTGAGGGCCCGCTGCTGACAAGATCCAGGCTGTGACCACGGACAAGTGGCTGGGGACGCACCAGGATGGGCCTGTGGGCAACGAGGCCAAGGGCCTGGGAGACCACGGCGTAAGAGCCACGTGTGGTCCCAGACTCGGGTGCAACTTGGGAAGCTGCGGTGGCATCTGACCTGGAGAACCTCACCTCCGCATCAAAGAAAAACAAGCAAAGCTCCTTTCTAGGCAGGCGAAGATGAGGGTTTACTGGCATCCCTCACAGCCAGAGTCCCCAAGTGCAAACAGTGAGGAGGGGTACAGCAGCCAATCAGCAGGGTGGGGGCTGCCGCAGGACACGGGGACTGGGGGGTATGGCCCCAGCAGCTGCCCGGGCCCCCCACCCAGCTGCCTCCTGAGCCAGTCGCCCCCATTCGGGCTGAGACTCCCCACAGGCGTTCACCTGGCCATTCGACCCCCAGAAGCCAGCAACTCCAAGGAAACGTGGCCAAAGCAGCCAAATGCATCCTGGTTTTCCCTGGAAGCTATAAAATCACCTGGCGACAGACAGGCTCGGGGAGAAATAAAGGAAGCTTAGTGAATAAATCTGGCTCTCCAACTTCTAACAAGAACTTGAAAGCACGAATTAAAGCTTAGAGTTTGCTTTCAAATGGCCTTGTGTTGCAATAACAAAACTGTCTCTGCAGACTGCCATTTATTAAACATTTTCCCTTAAACCAGAGAAAGGAGCTGCAGAGAGGCGCCCCATGCACGGAGGGCCACAATGGAAGGCTCTGTCATGGGCAGTCAAGAAGCACCTACTCAGGGCCTGGCACAGCGGTCTCCTCTTCGGAGCCGGCCTCCCACACTGTTCCCCACAAGGCTGACGCCTAGCTTCCTCGGTGTGAAAGCTCAGGTCAGGGGAACATCACTGGGTTCCACTGGATGGATGTCCCCGCAGCAGAAGGACGTGGCCCTGAAGTGTGTCCCGAAGGAGCCCCAAGGCAAGACTCCCACCAGGTGCCTGGGGTGTGCACCCTAAAAATGCAAGGAGCCCTCGGCCCAGCCCAGAGGCCTGGACGTGTTCAAGAGAAACCTGGGGAGAGGGCAAGGTGGGGGGGGCCAAAGCCTCCACAGGGGGCCCCTCCCCTGAGGACTGGCTGGCCCATACCAGGCCGTCTTGTGAGTTAAAAGGGCACCTCGCCACGTTCACGGTCAGGGGAAAGGGGGCCTGGGCACCAATGACAGAGGACCGGCCCTGGCAGAGACCGTGACATGCTCCCGTGCGCCTGCACGTTCCAGGGCAGCTCTCTGCCGTGCCCCTCCTGACACCCCCAGCCCCGGTCCTGGGTAGGCCTGGGCCGGGCACCTGTACCCACTGTAGCCGGCTCACGGGTCAGAGCACCAGTGGACTCTCCCCAGGGGGAAATATACTCCAGATTCTAAAATGGAATCACAGGAACACAATACGTTCTATCAGGTTCCTGATTTGACATTTCCGTTTCCTCCCAAAGTATGCACTCCCTCGGAGTTGCCGAACGCAGCGCACAGAACCTGCTGGTCCGTTCCCCACCTGCTTCTGACAGCAGACATTACCACAGCCAAAGCGCTCTGAGGAACCAGCTGCAGGCTGTTCCAGAAAGTCACTATGGACAATTTACCGGAACCGTGCCCCGTGCTCAGGTTCTGATCAGACGTGGCCTGGGTTGCCAGGCCAGTCTCTCCATTTAGGAGAGACTTTGGGCAAGTCCCCAGCTGTCAGTGGCAGCCACACGTTCACCATGGCCAGCACAGGGAGTGACAGCACCGCGGCCAGGGACCATGCGGCCAGGGCCGCGCCCACCACGCCCCCACCCCCCACCGCCCCAGACGGTAGCATGTGCCCGCCCGGGCACCGGCCCGTACTTCCCAAGGTGCTCAGCGCTGGCGGAACTGAAGGCATCCAAAATCAATCTTACCTCCTCGGCCCTGTAAACACGACCAGAAACTAGCCACTCTCATTTAAAACACCCTCGGAGATAAGAGCAGCCTTGGTGCATAGTTTTTGCATGACTGTGAGCAAAATGTTTACTCAGAGCTCAGTCCCCAAGCCGCCTACCCAGAAGTGTTTTCCAAAAATAAATGTGCCCGCCCCCATGTGAACTGCATAGAAAAGCAATCACATACATGCATATTTATGGTGGAAAAAAAAAAAGCGCTACGATTTCTTGAAGTCAAACAAAAAGCCATGCTGGGAAAAACAGAAGAGCAGCCCTTCTGGGTTGCAGTGAGTGTTTTCAGGGACAAAGGCCTTGTGAAACGGAGAGCAGATCCCAGGCCGCTGTGCCAGAGCTCGGCTGGAGCAGGAACTGCGGGTTCAGGAAGGCCGCCCTCCTCCCAGCGGCTCCACTCCCCAGCGGGGGGCCTGCCCGCCCACGCCCCAGCCTCCGCAGCCACCCCAACCGTGGACACTCCAGTTCTGCTTACAGGGCTCAATGTCATCCCAAGCACTTCCCCGAGCAAAGCCAGGTTTAAACGAAAACAAAGTCTAGCTCCACAAGGGCACCTGGGCCACCCAAAGGCACTGTAAGCCTGAGCCCCCGAGCTCTCCCGCGCATGCGTGGGGGCTGCATGCACCCAGGTTCTCCCATGCACACGTGGGGGGCCGCGCACACCCAAGCATACCCGAGAGCTCTCCCGTGCACACATGTGGGCCATGCTCACCTGAGCTCTCCTGCGTCATGTGCACACACGGGCAAGAAAGAGAAGGTAACAGTGCCCAACTCCCTTAGCTTTACAGGCTGGGAGTGGACAGATGTGCTTCCATCAGCCGTGGACACCGGCCCTGAGTCACTGTCCAACCACCCTTCTCATCAGCTGCACAAGCGTCGGGGTGTGGGGAATGACCTAAATCCTGGGGCTCAGATAACTGCCCGCATACCTAGGCGAGGCCTACGGGCCTCCCCCTCCTCCTGCATTGGGCTCTGCTCACAGGTGGCACCTTACAGACTGGGGACTCTGGGACTCAGTGGTCTCCCCCCACTCATCATCTCCCTCGGAGGAGGGGTCAGGGAAGTGTCTTCCTCACCCGGCTGCTCTGTCTTCGTGCTGTGACATGGGCTCCGGGCTGCCCCTCGGGCCGCCCCTCCCGGCCCCACCCACAGGGAGCGCACAGTCGAGCTGGGGCGGTGGTGTGGCCAAACGCAGGAGGCCGAGGGACAGAAGCACACGCAGACCCTGGGGGCCCAGAGAGGCAGGAGCGGGTGGGAAGCAGTGTAGACAAGGTGTCCAGGCTGGGGTCTAGCACTCTGACGACAGCACCAGAAGGGCCAGGGCACGGGGACGGCGGCAGGGAGCCAGCAGGCAGCCTTGCAGCAGAGGAAAGAGCATGGTGAGTGGAACATAAGCCAGGGGGCCACATGGGGGAACCTGGGGGCATAAGCCTGGCAGGAGCGGGTGGGGTGAGGGCGGGGACGAGGCCAGCGGGCAGCACGCCCTCACAGGAGCCCGGCTCAGCAGCTGCAAGGCAGCCCCAGGGGCACATGGCCTGGCCCTGCCGGCCTGGTCTTCACCCACATTCTCAGCACGTCTTCGCACGCCATCACTCAGACCCTACCACGTGCACGCCCTGCCCCCGCCCTGCCCCCGCCTCCCAGAAAGAAGTGGTACCCGGCACTAGCCCACGGCACGCCTCACAGCGGAACAGAATAAAACGTGCTTCCTCGTATGAAGTCAAAGGAGCCAGACACTGTGCTGCAGGGGGACTTGAACCGGGCCCTGCACTTGACCCTCGAGGCCCCCTGACATGGCAGAGAACAGGCGCACAGACGGGGACTCCGGAGACGGGGACTCCAGAGGTGGACTGGGGTCAATCACACGGGTGGCACCGCTCCCCCGTCACAGAGGCCCAAAACCTCCTCACGGCCACCGGGGGCTGCAGGCCACCCCCACCCATCACACCCCAATCCTGCTCCTCCCCAGCTCAGACCCTACACGAACGTGCTTCCTCTTCCTCTTTACCAAGTCCCAGCCCAGATGTCATGTCCCCAGCACGGCCCTCCCGCCCCCTTCCTGCACATGGCGACTCCGGCAGAAACGTGCCTATGGTGCTTCGGTGACACCAGATGCCCCTCACTGCAGTGCTCAGGGGTGACAGAGCAGGCAGGCTGGGATTCGCTCCAAAATAATTCCACAAAGAAAGCAGCTAAAAGAGCTTCAAGAAGAAAAGAGGACAAAGGATCGACCATCTGGATGATGGGTGCATGCCTGAACACCCTAAATAAGGGAACTTCTTTCCACCCCAGGTCCCCATGTGAGCACCTGTTCTGCGTCCCCCTTCCCGCCAGCCCAGACGCTCCGGGACGCCAGGGGCAGACCAAGTGAAAGGGCCCCTCTACCTCCTGGCCGTCCCGGGAGCCTGGAACGCGGGGCAGAAGGGGATGAGAGCCTCTCTCCCAAGGGCCCTGGGGCAGGCACGCAGGTCAGGGGAGCGGACAGGCATCGGGGCTTCCTCCTCTAACCGCCCAGGGCCCAGCTGGGAGCTCGGGATGCTTCCAGTCTGCAGGCAGCCAAGAGCCAATGCAAATAAAATCCCCCACCCAAAAAGTCGTCCAGTGACACCCTGCCAGCAGGCTTTCAAACTTGCTCTTCCTTCTGTGTGAGGCGTGAGCACATCCCGGACGGGGGTAAGGCCAGGCCCGGGGGGCACCGTGCCTGCGGGAGCTGGACTGGAGAAAATCAGAGAAGAGGTGTGGCCGATGTCCCTTCCTGGTAGAAGACGCTCAGAGGGCAGAAGCTGGGCATGGGCAAGGGGACTCTATGCTCTCTCTCCCACTCCCCTAGGAGTCCAAATCTCTAAAGCAAACTTTACTCAGGGGCGCCTGGGTGCTTGGTCGGTTGAGCATCTGACTCTTGGTTTCAGCTCAGGTCACGATCTCAGGGTCCTGGGATCGGGCTGGGAGGCCAGGGGCCTGCTGGAGATTCTCTCTCTGCCCCTCCCCTCTGATCACTTGCATGCACACATGCACTCTCTCTAAAATAGATACGTTTTTAAAAAATTTTTTTAAAAAATAAAGGAAACCTTACTTAATAGAAAAAGCGGGGGCAGTGATGGCAGAATCTGTGGGGAAGAACATTCTGACTCGGGAAAGGTGGAGCGTGTCACCCACACCTGAGAAACGATCGCGTTTCAAGGCTCAATCCCCTTACCCTCAAACACCTGATGGTTGTTTCTGAGCAGCGTCTGCAGGCCTCCACATTCCCGCTTCAACCTCTGCAGCGTCCCCCTGTCCAGCTTACGGGCTACTTCCGCCAAGGAGAGGCTTCCTGTGGAAAATCGGGTTTCCCCAACAACAATATAAAGGCCGCTGGAGACCGTTAACCAGGCAGGCTCACCGCCCTGGCACGACGGTTCTAGCTGCGTCAGTTCCAGCCCCTCACGCACGTCAGGAGGGGCCGTGAGATTTACCTTTGCTCTGAGTCCACACCACACAACACGGAGCTGGAACGACACGGGCCAGGCTGCCACCACCTGGGATGCCAGGGACTTCCCACCTGCCAGGCCCTGCAGCTGGGGTCTCACCCACGCCCACCCAACAACTCTGCAGGCCAGCGGAGACAGCCCTGCCTCCCAGACACAGAAAAGCAGTGCTGGCGTGTGGCCCAGCCCCGGACGCCCAGGGGAGCGGCCGCTCTGTGGCTGGGATTCCATCTACCAAAGCCCGGCCGGCCTTCAAGATGCACCTCTCAGCTGCCTCAAACTCGTTCTGAGAGCAAGCAAGATGTCTAAGGAGAAGGCCGAAACCAGCCCAGGCGGCCTTCCCTGCCCCTCCTGGGTCTGGTCCCGCACAAGCGCCCGACGCTGGCGCGCACATGCACAGCTCCACACGGCCACCTCCCGGTTGCTCGTCCTCTGCTGTGTGCGTGTCCCGACCCAGTCGTGAGGGCAGGGACCACCTCCTCCTGCCTGTGCTCCCTTACAAAGATCACTTAGGGCCTGGGGACAGACGCGCTAGTACATCACACAGGAGCAGGCTGCAGAGGGGTCACTAAATTCCAGCAACCAAAAGGTGGGAAGATGACCCGAGGGCAGGAACCTGTGGGCTGAGAGGGCAAGGGCGCAGTTCCACCCCACTGGAGCACCTCAGGCCAGCCCCAGACACTGAGACCCATGCAGGGAGGGTGGCCTCCCAGCTCTGCAGGTGTTTCTGCTGGGCGGGCAGGCCCGAGACCCGAGACTCAGAACCACCTGCTATCTACGTCTGAGCCTAGAAGAAGACCCAGTCTGCTACGGCCAGAGTTCTGTCCCAGGCACAGGCAAGCACCTCCTAAGCTCAGTCATTCCTGGGGTCTGAAGGTCAAACTCCACATTTTCAGACTCACCCAAATGTCTCTGAGGCGCCTGCCCACCTGCTGCGGACTCCCTGCCCTTCGAGGTCCCCATGGAAGCCCCCCCTGAGTTCCTCTTCACTCAGGCCCCGCCTCAGCAGGGCACACCAGAATGTGGGGTGCCGACCCACAGATCAGTCCATGGAGCCCCAGTCTGGCGCCCAATTACACAGATGCTCAGCCACCCGCAGTGGGGGGGCTCTGGCCGGGGCTGCCACCACATCCCTAGAAGGCCCTCCCTTAGATTAGACGCCACCAGGGTCAGTGATGCGCAGAGAGGCGGAGATGCTCCACGGCCCTGCCCCGTAGCAAGTACACGAGAGCGTGCAGGCTTAGAGCAGGACAACATCACGGGTCGGGGAGGCCAGGCTTGCCGCCTCCTCCCGGGGCCCCCACTCACGGGCCAGCCAGGCAGCAGCCCCTGACAGCATGAGGGAGGGCTCCCCCAGGTCCTCCAATGACCCCAAACACTCAGGCAAGTCTCTGGCGCTGCCAGACCCAGCCAGCTCCACAGCGCCCTCTGGCGCCGCCGGGCAGGAAAGAAACCAGCTTGGACCAACCAGCCGCCTAGGACTCCAAACGCTCACTACAAAAATAGCAGAAGCTCACACTTTGGTCCCTATCTCTCTTGAATGCCACTGATTTCAGCACGTTACTCATCCTATGAGAATAATCAGATACGATTTTCTCCCTTTCATCACGTCTGAGTTTTGCACTTTGGGAATTTCAAAGAGAATCACGTTATCAGACTACGTCTCCAAAACGTTACCTTATTGTCAAGAAGACAGCGCACTTTCCTGGCATTCAGGACTCTGTTTTTGGTTTGGATAACTCCTATAAATTGAAAATAAAGGGCTCCACACCCTGAAGCCTGGACAATTCTGTAAAGGTTAATTACCCCTCTGCCCTCAGTGCCTTGCTCTGAGGGAACGGAGTCCTGCACATTAATGGGAACTGTAGGAAAACTTCAAACAATGAGTGTAGAGTGCCCTGTTCATCATCGATGTCTCTTTAAAACACACGTAATTAAAAACAACCACACAATTTTAAGTTGGTCCTAAAGGAGAGCCGAGCTGCTGCCTGAAAGCCAGCAGGCACGCAGCTGCTGGGGGCTGGGGGCCTACCTCCTCGGTTCCAGGCCTTCGAACTGCTGCTTGGAGCACTTCCTGTGTTTAACTGCTCTCCATCCAACAGCAAATGTGCCACTTGCAAAACCACTTGGTCAATAAAATCTCGAGGGAGGGTGGCACAATTCCTCACGCGCTCAGCTTTTTCTCTAGGCTGAAATCCAGACAGCCAGAGTTGGTTGGCTCGGGCCTCTGCCCCTCCCTTGGCAGCCTCGGCGTCCGGGGCCTGGGGCCCGTCGGGGTGACCTGCGCGTCCCAAAGCGGCCCGGGGTGGAGGAGGGGCAGGCGCCTCGCCAGGTGGGCTCATGGGGCGGCCCCGCCTGCTGTTAATGTACTGGGTTCTCTGCTCATCCATGGAACCTTCTCCAGCAGGTGAGTATGTTCTGGATTTCCCAATGAGACAAACCTGCATGGGAAAAACAGCAGGGTATTTTACCAGGCTCCTAGAGTATGTCCATGGTTTCCATTCAATTCTCTTGTTCTGCAATACAAATTAAAGTTTTAGGCATTTATCATGGAAGAAATGCTTATTCTAAAAATGTCCAAAATAAACCAAGAGCAAGAGCCCATGAAGAATCTCAAGGCTCGGACTTTGAGAGCCCTAACACACTCATATAAATCTTGAGTCCACACCTATTGAGCTTACGGCCGGGCCGCTCTGAACACTCACTCGAGGGAGCCTTTGTGTGACCCCCAAGTGCAGACACCGATGGTAAGCTAGAGCTCTCAAAATGAGCCGTCCTTCTCTGGACCTGATGTGGCGCCGATGCTCATTCCATGCTCTCTCCTCACTACATCCAGATGAAGGATGCTGCACAGGCGTCCCCGGGGCGAGCGAGGCTGGTCCAGCGACACCACCCCGAGCATAGCATCTCTGGACTTCCTCCCCAGGCGGGAGCTATGAAGGCACGTTACAGGCACTGAAAGAAAGCGGCTCTAATCACATCAGAGGCACCCCTCACTACGCCCCAGCGGGATCCTGGGCAGGTGACGTAACGTCTCCGCGTGGCAACAAGCAGCGGGGCGTCACCAGCCCTCACTGAACAGCCGCTATGTGTGGCCACCTGCTCTTGCATTTGCCCCCCAAACCACTGAATTACAAGAAAGCTGAGACTCGGGGCACCTGGGTGGCTCAGTCGTTCAGCGTCTGCTTTCGGCTCAGGTCATGATCCCAGGGTCCTGGAATCGAGCCCCACATCTGGCTCCTGGCTCGGCGGGGAGCCTGCTTCTCCCTCTGCCTCTCCTCCTGCTCGTGCTCTCTCTCTCTCTCTCTCTCTCTGTATCTCTGTGTCTTGAATGAATAAACAAAATCTTCTAAAAAAAAAATGTTTTTTTTTTAAAAAGAAAGCTGAGACTGAGATTAAGAACTGGTACTTGGCCTCCAGCAAGACAATGGAAAGACAAGTGCAAAAACCCGAGCTGTGGGATCCTTGTACCCACATGACCCAAATTCCAGCGGTTCCCAGACTCAATTCCAGCTTCAGCGGAGTGACTCGCCGACGTGAGGACATTTACGAGGACACCACGGCTCCAAAGCGGGGTCCTAAAGGAAGCTTTCAGAGTGACCTGACAGTGATGGCGTGGGCAGCAATGACGTACCTGAGGCCGAGTGGGCCGCAGTCACCGCCACCACTGAGCGTTATCTCGTCCCCGCTGGGCACAAGAGGACACGGGCACGGTTTGCAATGTGCCCAGGAGTTCACGGCTAGCAGGTGGCAGAGCGAAGAGCTCACCTCACACCTGTCTTGAATCCTTTTTGCCACGTCAAGCAATCAAGCTATCAAGCTTACAATTTGGATATGATGGGTTTTTGTGTTTTGCTGGTCAAAAAAAGCACACTGATGGCCATGGAGTCTGATAAAAGGAAGCTATCAGAGATTATGACAAACTGATGGCTCAGAGGGTGAGCGGGAACATGGCCGAGTCCGCCCTGACCACCTGGCAGGGTCACAGAGGGCCACTGCTGTTTTCACAGACTGGGAGAGGGTAAAGGTCTGTCTGGGCAAATTACCTTTCAGGTAAATCTGAATTAATGAAGCATGTAAGGAGAAAATGGGAATCATTCTGAACTTCTGAACCAAACTTCAATTTCGGCCAATCACTGGGGAACCCGAGGAGTCAGAACTCAGAGCAGGAAAACTCAGACAACACTCGGGCCACCGCTATACAAGTCAGACTGACGCCCACTCCGGACAGGTCCCCGAGGGCCACGCGCAGTTTCTGGGAAGAAAATGAAGACGCGGCGAGGGTCCTGGAAAGCCGCCACGGGAGGGGCCGTGGGGGCAAAACGAGCCCTCCGAACACCACCCGTGGCCGAGACGCTGAGATCACCACAGGCAGCTCTGGATCGCATCCAGTGTTGAACACCATTGTCCCCTGTGGTTCTGTAACGCAGCCCTCAGCCCCTCATCCAGACGCCAGCACCTCACCAAGGACGGTGAGCCCCCGGCGACCAGGACGTACCCTTTTGGTTGAGGGAATGCGCAGGCAGTCCTCCTCGACGTGAAACCCGCAGGCCAGCCCCACTTCCTTGATGAAATCAAGGTACTCTCGGTACTGAGTCTTCCGGCTCTGCCTCCGGGAATATTTCCCAGTGAAGCCAAAGAAGCAGCAGGGAAGGACAAAGAAACGGCAGCCGTAGGAGGACCTTCAAAATCAATCCACAAGAAACAAAAGGAAATTCAGCAGAAAGCCACATCATGCATCGGGGTAACATACATACGTGTGCTGGTGGCTGCTCATGTCTTCTGATGAGAAAATGAGTAACAGCTCTCCCTAATTCAATTTCTAGAAACAATGAGCATGGCATACCTTCCCCATAAAACATGGATCTAATTACCTTTATAAAAACTTTCCCCATTGCAGTTGTTCTCGTCAACTGAAACGTAAGACTTCCCGAAGCGCTTGAGGCTCCGGCTGGGAGGGAGGGACCTCGGAGGCAGACATGCAAAGACTAAGACGTGCTCCTTGACCGACGTTATCCTCCGAGAGCTAGGACCCTGGATGGGGAGCCACAGCCACAAAACCTTCGGGGCAGCGATGTCGCCTGCACCTTCGCGTGTCTCCTCCTGACCTAGAAGCGCCACCACCCCGCGTACAGTCCCCGGGCTGAGAACTAAATATTGCTGCGTGTCACTATGTTCACAGACTTTTCCTTTGAAGACCAACCCTTGTTGTCAGAAAAAAGCTTCCACAACATGACCCGTCTCTCAACACTGGCTATAAACACCGCAGAAGTCATCAGTTTTCACCAGCACCGTTCAATAGAAGAATGCCGTGAACCACATTTGCGACCTTATCTTTTCCAGCCGGGCAGAATTCAACCCTGACCTGACAGACTCGGCACATTATCCTTTCAACAATTTGAACCAGCTCCATTTCCAGTGTTGGACAGCCACCAGGCAGCTCGATGTGGACAGCGAGGTTTGCCCCGCCACCCGCCCTGCCACCCGGACCACCTGCTCACCTGGCCGCAATGACAGGTATCCATGGTGTTAGTTCATCGGAATGGTTACCAATTAACCAGTCGACGTGAGGGAAAAGGTTCTTATCATTTGGTGTGATTGCACCTTCCTAAAGGAAAACACCAAACAAGACCATGGGTTCGGTAAAGCAGCACAGAGCTACTGAGGCAAGGCCCCGCAGACCCTCGGCTTGCTGGGCGGGGTCCCAGCCCCCCGGGGCCTCGTGGGTACTGGGTAGGCACCCGAAGGTAGAGCCGCATCTGCCCCACAGGGCGTGGAACGGGGCAGTTTCTAGCGTCATCTCTAGGGAAACCAACAATGCCCTCCGAGCGCTAATCGCTTTTCGACCCGTACAGACGTGCTTCTGTTCACCAGCATACAAGGAGCTCTGGGAGGTGGGACAAAGCAACCATGTCCACACGCCAGAGCGTCGGAGCCAGAAAGGGCCTTGGAGCAAGCGAGTGGAAAGCAAGCAGGTCTGAAGTTGATTTAAGTGTGTAACGTAACACACCACGCAACCTCACGTCTGTCGATCGATGTGACGAAGCACACCCACGACAGCACGAGGAGAGGTAAGAGAGGCAGGGGCAGTTTATATGTAGCAGAATAAGTCTCTGCTATCGTGCTCTTTTGTAAACACTCAGACACCAAGTAAAAAACCCACTCCATAGGCAAGTTAACCATTCTGATAATTCCTGTAATTAAGCCGAAAACAGCTTGATTTTATGATTTAAGAACGGCCATCATGAATGATTAAAGTCAGGCCCCAACAGTGGGTCTGTTGGTAAGCACTGGAAAGACAGAGAGAAAAGATACGACCACTCAAAATCGTAATTTTGAAACTGAAGAACGAACCCCCAAGGGAAACAAGCGCAGCTGCCATCCCTTGATCAGAACAAACTGGGAAGACATTATGACAACCTCACGTTCAAGGCCATCCCTTAGGACAACAAAACCATGGGTCTTTTGCAGACGTGATGTATACAAAAGTGGAATTTAAACTCTACAATCTCTCTGGTTCTTAAATAAGCATCTGGACTTCTACTTACATATTAAAACACTGAACAGACAGTACAGCTCAATGGATTTATACATAATTTAAAAGCAGGAAAAAAAAACCTTTGATATGATCCTCTATTCTCACCCCTTCTAGATTTAGTTGCCCATTTCCCTTTAAATGACCTGCATGAATAAAAACATAATATACAGCTGCTGTTATTTAAGACGGGTGGTTTTGTTCTTAGCAGTTTCTTGCTTACAATCAAATGAGGATTTTGAAAGAAGCTGGAAACTCATGCTCGGCTTTTGACGGTGCAGATAAAGACAACGAGCCCACAAAGGCAGCCATGAACTCCCTTCCACGAATCTTTTTCATTTTTTGCAATATTATTCTCAACTTTAAAAGAAAGTGAGGCAGAAAGTATAAAAAGAGTCTCAGACTCTTACTATTTACAGATGAAATGGCAGGGCTGAGATCTGTCTCCCAAGAGCAGCGGGCCGAGTAGGGGCTACAAGAGTAACTGTGACGTCCGTGAGCTGCCCGGATGCTCACTCTCGTCCGTTCGCCCTTGCGTTGTCCACAAAAGTGAGCATGAGAAGTGCCGTCAGCACTCTGCCCGGCTCAGAGGCCGCGGCCGGACACCAATGCCGTGAACACTGGACACCAGACCTGACGTGGGACTGCTGCTCAGGGGGCCGGTCACTTTCTCCCTTGGGGAGACACTCCTCTCTGACTGGTACCAGGACAAGTGAGCTACTCCTGAGCAAGGCTGCAGGGACCTGGGTTCACTGCGGCCTGAGGGTCATGGGCTCTGGAGGCCGGGCCACTAGATGGCTCACAGCAAATGTGTAGCCCACCTTCGTAGCTCCACGGGGCGTCCACACACCTGCAGCCCCGCCCAGCCCGGCTGCAATTTACCTTCCTACCCTGGACTCCTCAGCACCTGCCCCTTGCTGGGAGGCCCTCCCGGCCACCCCATATACCCAGCACGACCTGGCCCCGCAGAGGCCCCCTCACCCTCCTCAGCATGTACCACACCTGCCACCCAGCACCCGCTCTGTATCCAGGGTGTTCCCCACCCCCACGAGGGCAGGAGCCTTTTCACTGTTGAAATGCCAGCACCTGAGAACGCCTGGCAGGTTGAGGGCATTCAAATATTTGGTAAATATGCAAATCTTACTTTTTCTCCTGGTTTTTTTGGATGCATCTCTTATAGCATCAAAACTCTTTCTGAAAGCATATTTGAAGTAAAACTTTTCTGAAAACCATTATGACAATATCATCCCAAAACTTCTCAAGTTTGGCCTATGACAGATTTTTTTTTCAGGGGACTAAGACTGATGCATGAGGATTTATGTAGTGTAACCTGCCATCTGAAAACACGGTCAAGAACAGGAGGTGAGCCGAGAAGCAGTGTGCGTGTGCCCTGCCCTCCAGGCACAGTGGGCGGGACAGGGGACTGACTGCCAGCACCGCGCGAGGACTAGTTAACACGCATGAGGCACCTAGAAAGGTCAGCACCGGGCACACTCATGAAAACCACGGCCCCTAGGGAACAATCATGCTGAGAGCAAACAAATGAACAAGGTCAGTACCTCTAAGCAAGTTTGTGGTCCATACATGTCCCAGATTTTTCTTCTTCGGACATCGATCCCTCTGCCTGGATGCTAAAAGAATTTCAGAAATCAAAGGTCAACATCGGTACATCATAATTAATGAGCAAGACAAATTAAACTCTGCACGGAATGCCACCATTGTGAAGTGCAAGAGACCCAGATAGCACCCACAGTTTCTCAGCAATTGAAACAGGTCAGGACCTGCACTCCGCTAAGGGTCCCCAAGAGTCTTCACGAAGGGGAAATGGAGTCGTGTGGGAACGTGTCTGAGGCCAGCAGCCCAGGAGACACATCTGGACACAGAGCCCCTCTCTCGTGGCCCAGAGTCAAGTCCGGACCCCAGCACGTCCGCCCCTCCAGCTTGCCAGGAGACAAGGCCCGTCCCCTGTGGCTGTTTCTCCCCCAGGATGTGTGCCCGTGCCCGCCGGCTCTCACAGGGCAACTGTGCTCATTTCCAAGTTGGGGGGAGAGGAGGGGTGCGCGAGGTAGCTCGTCCTCCTCACTTACCAGCCTGCAGGTTACCACCTGATTGCTGACCCCCCAACACCTTATTTACAGGTATTACCATTACAAACTCATTTTTTAATTACGCAAACAAAATGGACATTCTAACAACCCCATTTCAAGTTCCTACAGCTGTGGACAGAGTACCTCTCCTACAGGGCAGAAGTCAGCCGGGTCACCGGGTGACAGCAGCGCACCTCCCACAGTGAGTCCGCAGGAAGGCTGGACGCCGGCCCGAAGCACCGGCCCGGGAAGCCTGTGGCTCACACTGAGCCGCCTGCTCCGAGCGACAGGGGCTGCTCTAAGCACGTCCCGCCGTTACTTCACGGATCCAGAAACAGTGCCCACACCGTTGTCGCCAGCGTCCATCACAGCAGGAGTGTGCCTGGCCTCTGAGCCGGGACTCCAGCTTCTGGGGGGCAGAACCCACTGCCTCTCATTCCCCTTCCGGTGCCCTGACATGCCGTGTTCCCCAAAGAGCCCCTGACGGCCACAACCGCTGTGCCGCACGAAGTCTGTTGTCCAGCCGCACAGGCCGCCCCGCTCTCCTCGGTCCCAGCCCGACAGCCAGGCAGACTCTGGATCCAGCTCGTACCAGCAGAGAAAGACCTCAAGGACCCTTGTGCAGAAAAAGGAAGTAGGAATGGCCACGGAAGCGCACCTTACCCCCTCCGTGCTCAGGATGTGCACCAGGAGACCGTTCCCACATCCTAAGTCAACAAAGGACTGCTTGGCCATCAAGCCCCGCTCAGCTCTTTCTTCTTCCCACAAAATCTAAGTTACAAAAAAAAAGTCAGTTCCTGATTCATTCCCTCCAAGAATAATTGAGACGCAAGCCCTGCATGGGATTACAAATCACATTTCCAGGACAGGCGGGACAGGCCTCGTGTGGGGCCCTGGGTCTGCGCAGGTGACGCACAGGGAGCTGCCCTCGCCTGATGCCGCAGCGGCATCGAAGCCGTCCCCTGCCAGCACGAGTCCACACGAAAGTGGTCCTCTCTGGGCAAGAGCTTCACAGATTACTGCTGGTTCTTCATGCCTTCTCTGTTCTCCTAGGCTGTACACTCTGATAGTCAAAGCAAAATATGCTATTTCTAAAAAGGCTCTGAGAATCACAGATGAAAGGAAATTAGAAATTATCTGGCCTAAACATCTGTTAGATAAGAAAGTCAGGACTATTAAGTCAAGGGCACACCCAAATTTGGGGGCTAGTGAGCTAGCTAAGGACGGACCGAGGAGTGCAGGGGTCACGTGAGCGGCGCGAGTGGCATGGTGCCTCCGTGACGAGGGTACGTCAGGAACGCCCCGGCTGAGCAGGAGCCCCTGCGATCTGGCCTCACGGCGCGGACGTGCTCCTCACTCACACACACACACACACACACACACACACACACACTAGTGCACGAGCTACCGAGCCAGCATGCTAAGTTATGGATTTGATGAATGTGGCTCCCCACCGGTAGCGGCGGCGGGCAGCAACCTTCGCCCACCCCAGGGGGCCTGGGTGACCGAACACGCGCTTACCAGCAGGTACGCAGCGATGGCCACATCTTCATACACAAACTTTTCGGGATCGGTTACTTCAGGCCACACCTAAAACATTTTCCAGAGCATATGTAACTGTTTGCTCGTCACCCTGCCATTTCACTACACGTAAGGTATCCCCATCAGCATAAGTCAAATGAGACTAACCAGGCAGTAGAATTTTTTAAAAAAGCTCATTCCAAAGGCAGACATTGATGATCCCTCTCTTACAGTAAGAGAGTGGCATAAAGACACGCAAAACCTTTACCCCATACGCGTGTAACGCGACACGTCAAGAGCAACGCAGTCCAAAGCAAGATTTTGCAATGAAAACAACCCATGTAGCTATTTAGATGAGGCAACTGGACATCGAGGAAAATGCTCAGTTTGCCCACCCCATCGTTTATGCAGATGACGAAAATGAACAAAGAAACTCGGACGAGGAAAGCAAAGGGGTCAGGAGGCTGGGGCTCCAGGCCTCTGGTCTGCTGGTGCTGGGCGGCCACTTGCTCAGCAGCAGCACTCAGCAGGTGGTCCCCATCTCCCTCTCCGGAAGCTAAAGCCTTCGCCGCCACACGGGACAGCCAGCAGGTGCTCCGCAAGCTGCAGCACACCGGCCGCACGAGCGTGACGCCTCACTGCCCACACAGGTCACGTGCTCAACGGGCAGCTAGCAGAAGAGGAAAAACCCACGACAAGGCCACACGTTCCGATTTCCGTGTCTAGTCATGGGGGGTCAGACGGGTCGGGCTGTCTCACGAAGGACAACTACAAAGGCCGGAATAATAGATGGAAGTCCTTTCCGGAAGGAACTGAATAGTTAATAAGATAATGAAGGCCTCTCAGGCCAGGATCTGAAAGAGAAAGGGCCCCCCGCTTAGGTCAGCCAGGCCTAGGACCCACACACTTCAGCAAGAATGAAAAAGGTCACTGTCTCCAGCCTGTGAACTTTGGGGTGCTCTGTTACACAACGATAGCTAACTGATAAAAAACAAACAAACAAAACAACAGCAACAACAAAAACCACATATGGGTGCCTCGGTGGCTCAGTCAGTTAAGCGTCTGACTCTTGATTTCAGCTCAGGTCATGATCTCAGGGTCATGGGATCGAGCCCCACATCAGGTTCTGTGCTGAACAGGGACCCTGCTTAAGAGTCTCTCCTCTGCAACCCACCTCAAACAAAACAAAAACAAAAAAACACATACAGAAATGACAAATCCTGGTTCCTTCCAGAAAGAGGGCCATATGCTGGGAAGACTACAAAAGAAGTTCAGCTACATTAGGGAAGCTTTATTTCTTCCTCCGGGTGTGAGCACAGAGGTTTGCTGTTACTTTCTCTTTACATCTTAAATATAAAGTTAAGGACATGTTCTGAAATTTATCTCCTTTACGGAAATATATGCTTTTACACTTTAATTTTTCACATCTTTTCTTTAAACATCCTTAAATTTATATAAGGAAATGTAGCAATTTTGTGACTAATATCCAATTATTTTCATTCAAATACTTTCCTTTTATTTGCTTGGAAAAAAATTAGCAATGTGCAAAAAAAAAAAAGAAAAAGATCCCTTTCCAGCTGTCAACAGTTTTGCAGTTTGCATCCCTACATATGTCGAAATGCAGCCTGCAATGTGGGCCTCTAAGTGGCTATGTTCTGACTTGATGTCTGTGTCTGCAAACACCAGAAAGTTTACTGGAAAAATGATTTTACCTGGCATAGTTTGGTCAATGGCCCCTCATCAAAACGAGGGAATCACGAATGTTTCCCCAGTTACCTTGACCATATCTTTATACTTCTCCTTGAGCATCTGGTACGTCTTGCTGTATTTGATGATGGAAATGAGGGACAGGGTGCTTTTAAATCCACTCCTCTTGCTCTCCACAGACCACCGGGCCAGCCTGGCCAGCAGCTCTTCTACCAGCCAGGCGGGTTTGGGATAAACAATGCCATCTGAATGCCATTTTTCTGGACAGAAAATTAAAATAGATATGAACCTTTAAAAATAAGAGAAATATGAATAAGCAGAGCTAGTTTCAATTCTTATTTTTAAATTAAACATTTACCAAAAAAAAGAGAGTACATGTTAAGATAGCTATAATTACAAAATATTTGACCTGAAACCCAACGATTGGGAACTAGTTGCAGAACTTTCAACAAAGAGAGAAAAACACATTTTTTAAAAGCAGAAAGAATTCTTCTCTTATAAACGCTGTTAAAAATGCGTCTACCCATCCTATGAAGCCCATCAGAAGGATGGACAAGGACCAAAGCTCCTCCTACCGTCTCCTTCACGCCCTGATTAGCCAGGTTCCAGATGTCTCAGGATCTTTCTAACATTCTGTTTTTGTGTATTTTCACATGTGCAACTCGTAGACTGGCTCACCAAATACTTCCTGGCCAGAAAGTGGAGTGCTCAGCCCCACGGCTAAGGACGTGCACAGTCCCCCTGCAGCTCACAGGTTTGCGTTGTGTGTGTCTCCTGCCCACTGTTATCTGCCCTGCGCCAGACGCACAGCAGGTCCTCTCTGTCCGTGTGTTTGAACACGTGAGTAAAAGCTCACACCCATGGGCCCAGATCACAATAAACTGTCTGAGGACACGATTCAGGCAGCACAATAAGGAAGAGCGTCCAGTTTGTCGGGCGGAGAGAGAAGGCTACAAAAAAGGTGGCATTCAACAGGGGCCCTAAGGACAAGTGGAGGCACGGGCAGCTGGGCGAGAGGGGCAGAAGTAGGACTGTCTGGCTTTTTGCCACCCTGAGCATCAGAGGGACACAAGTAACAGGCACCGACTATGCACTGGGAGGCGCACCCCGGGGGAGCTCACACCGCGGGGAAGAGCCTGGGAAGGACTCGGGCTGCTCCCCTTTCCCATCCCGTCACCTGGAAGCTCTCCTGCCGGGCCTGGCACACCCTGTCAGGCCCCTCCCCTGCTTGTCCCTGGGCCTCATGCTCTTCTCCCAGGTGTCCCCCAGAGTCCCCCCGGCCTACCTGCTCATCCACTCAGGCCTCACCTGGGATGCCCCGTCCTCAGAGGCACCCGCACCCGCTCTGCATGGGCCTGACACAACACCGCCTTTGCTACCGAGGGGACGTGGGAACAGAGACATGTTTCACCTGTTTTCTTAGCACCACCTGGTGGCGGAGCGTGTCTGTGTGTCACGCGGCTCCTCGCGGAGCACATGGTGGGCTTGGCGCACACCAACACTGCTGTGATGGCAGGAGCCAACGAGGAGCGTTGTGCGCTACGGTGGCGGCCCAGTCAACCCCCATTTAACTTGCGCTCAGTAGCTGGCCCGAGTGCCCGAAGGGACGGAAGGGACAGCTGCCCAGGGGCTAGAGGACAGGAGACGCCAACCCAGAAAGACAGGAAGCAGGCAGCCGAGAGCGAGCCCTCAGTCCGTCAGCAAAGAATGTGCTCCACGCACAGAACGTCCCGCGTGCTGCCACAGCCATGCGGCACCGGGCACCGGGCACCTGCACAGCAGCCTCGAGCACACGCCTTCGGTGGCCGCCCACCAGCTCTGCCGTCGGCGCCCCCCCAGGGACCGCCACAGGAGACACGTTTTCCCCCACGTGCCTGCTCCCAGTCCCCACTTTCCAACACGAGCACGCCGAGGAAGGGCCTGGGGCCGGGTCCCTCGAGCAGTCTCTAGACAATTCTAAGAGGCTTCAGCCGGGCCCTAAGAACTGCCATCGAGCTTCTATGCCTACCACAGGTCCTTATGAAGCCTGGGCCCCTCCTCAGAGGCTCAAGAATTATTAAACCCATCGCACAGGTGAGAAGACTGAGGGCCACAGAGGCGACATGCCAAGGTCACATGGCTAGTGGGCAAACCCAGGTCTATCTGACTGCACAACAGTCTCTTCACACTGTACTCCTCTGCTTTATACAAAGCCACATGCCAAGCCCAGTCTGATTTAACACACAGCAATCCCCAGGGTTGTTCTGGAAAGTACAGACAGATGTGGCTCTCAGGAAAGGAGGAGCAGCAGAGTGATTAAGTGAATGGACCCTTCCTCTGACTTTTCCATTTAAAAAATACCAAATGGAAGTAAACCAAATTTCACACTTAGGGTACAGGCCCAAATGCCACATGGAACTAAGCGGGCTACTGAACTGCTACTTTCGGGATAAGCACCACTGAATACCCACTACATCCAAAACCACATGAGCCTCAGCAAGAAATAAAAAAAGAAACTATCCTCACTCCCCATTCCCAAGTCGTAAAAAAGAAAATAATAAAAGGATTTGCGATTACTTGAATTCAGCTAAACCTAGGTGCTACTCATCATCCCAGCTATGTGGACTGTAAAGAATACAGACCTAGGCCCGGTGCCAACAGGAACAAAGACACGCCAAGGAAAGGCCAACTAGAAACAGGAAACATGTTCTCACACACCTCAGCTGCCAAAGGGCACCTTCAGCTCTTCAATGACCCTGAATCCTGCAGCTACCCAGACGTGTGACAGAAACCATACAGCCCTAGAGGAGGACTCCATTCTGTAGCTCTTACCATTCTTCCTGGCTCTGACTGAGCCGGACTTGATACACGTTGCTCATCTCAACCTTTACATTCCCTCTGTCATCTTCTTCCAAAGGTAAAAAAGTTACAGTTCCATTGAGGACATCTGGGGTAAAAAAGACAGGGATAACCAATTAAAACTGCTTGGTTCAGCATTTTATCAGGAGCAGTATTAAACACAGGCATGACTCAGCCCGACTTTGCTCTCCTGGGGCTTTCCCCGGCCTCCCTTTACCACAGACATGTTTTATGTCCTATCCACTGCTGCATCCCGAGCCTACAGGGCGCCAGGCCCACGCAGCAGATGCGCTCAGCAGGAGCTGAAGGCAGAAGGTCGCTGTGGAGAAGCACTGCTTCTCCCCCGCAGGGAAGCCAATCTGGGAGTGCAGATGCCTACATCTGAAGGTCTCGGGGGCACTGGCTCACCAACCTCTGTCTGGCAGAAGGAAACGTAAAAGGTGATCAAACACCAGCGATCAAAGCTGGAAGAGCTCCCAAATTCGTCTGGACACGACAGGGTCACGGAGAGCCTCCTGGCAGAGCGGACACATGGGAAGAGTCTTGCAGGGGCGCAGGGGCACAGGGGCAGACCGTGCTGGGAAGTGGGGGTGGGAGGGAAGCCCCTACAGCGATTTTGCTGTGTGTGGCACCACAGCCTCTCGAAGGCGATCGCGCCCTGGTACCCACAGCCTGAGTCTGTGCCATGTGACAAGGCACAGAGGACTCTGCAGATGTGACGAGGCTACAGACCTCAGGAAAGGGAGTACTCGGGATGCGGCAGGTGGGCCCAGGCCAGTCACAGGGGCCTGGAAAAGCCGAGAACTTTCTCCAGCTGGAGGCAGAAGAGGAGTCTGCAAGCATGAGAAGGACTGGTGCAGGCTCTGAGATGCAGGAACCCGAGGGAGGCCTCCAGCAGCGGGCCCTCCACTAATCTCTTCACCTGCTAAACTCCTATTCATCATTCGACATCTGGAGCTCCGTCATCTTCTCCCTCAAGCATTCCAGACACTCGCCCCCCCCACAATGACCCCATGCTCTGTACTAGAAATACACATATCTACATGTCCCCTCAAAAAACAGTAAGAAAAAAATCTACAACCTCCCTAGGACATCACAAATGTACCGACATAGTGAGTACTGTTGAGCCTTTTCACTGACCTAAGGTTCAAAGAATGCTTTTTAATCTAACTGCATCCTGTGCCAAAGAGTCTCTCTCTGACCACACTCCAGCCAGGCTCTTCTGCGCCCTGTCTCAACTAGGCTTCCACTTGGCCTAGAAGACTTCAACAGTGGCACGGTTCCTAACAGCTCAAGGCTGCATCCCTAGAATGACCCGAGGCTCCCTCAAAGCTGCCAGGACGCTCTCAGCCCTTACCTGAAGGTGGTCCCCTGTGTCCCCGGGGCCTGGCGGGGGGCGGGAAGGGGGGTGTGGAGAAGCCTAACTTCCGGGCGCGCGAGGAGACACCCAGAAGGGAGTCACAAGGAACAAACCCCCTTTCGTTAATTTTCGCTTCTTTCACTCTACCTCTCACCATGAGAAACACTCTTACCTTGCACGACTATTTCTCTCCTCGGAGCAGCAAGCGGGCAATGAGGGCCTGTTTTCGGGATGACGGTTCTGAGAACCACGTCGAGCTCGCTTGGCGCCTCCGGCTGCGATCCCGCCCGGGACCCGGTAAGAAAGGCCAGCATCTCTGGATTGCCGCCGGCGAGGCTCCGAGAGAAAGCGTCCCAGAGAGAATCCAGATCCGAGGCAGGGAAATCGCCCTCTCTGACCCCAGCCTTGCCGGGCTGCCCGGGGCACCCTGCAAGCTGAGCCGCGGCGGCTGCTTCCCTGGGGTCCTCCCCTTGCGGGCGCCGGGGCTGCGACTCCTCGGGCCCGCGACCCGCCGTGCCCAGCTCGGGGCCTGTGCTCGGCCCGGGGCCCAGGCCCCCACTGAGGGAGCGCAGACAGGGTCTGGCCGCGGCCCGCTCCTCCTGCTGCGGGCCAGTGATGGGACTGTGGCCGCAGGCCTCCGCCCGGGGAAAACCAACACTCCGCCGGGCGTCCAGGCGGACGCCACACAGCCGTTTGTTGGCCACCTGCGGCCTCTCCAGCCACACGGCCACCGCCGCCCAGAAGCCCCCAGGGAGTAGCGCACCCGGGTCCCGCACAGCCACCCGGCCAACCTCCGCCATGGTCCGTCTGCGCCAAGGGCTCCGCGGCTACGGCGCGCCGCGATGACGCACGGGGCGTCGCGGTCTGTGACGTCACGGGGAGGGCGGGGCGGAGTGGCTACCTGCCCCGGGACGCTCCCGCGGGCGGTTAGCGCTGCGTAGTGTCACCCTCGCTTGCCTCTCCGGGGCCGCCCCCGCGGCGTGTGCTGCCTGCAGGGGGGTGTCCCCGCTGGGCTCGGAGGACAGGCCTGGCCGTGGCGTGTGGACACTGCGTCGGGTTCGCCCGGGTCCGGGGCGCCTGTGGCGAGTGCGGATGCTGGCGGAGGTCCGGGGAGCGCGGGCCTGCCGTCTGCGTGCGCCGACTGGCTGCCCGCTGTCACCTGCGTGTCCCCTGACGGGTCGGGCCCCAAGTCCAGTACAGTCTGCAGAATCTGCGCTATGCCAAAAACTCCGGGAGTCTTCATTCTCTTGGTGCCTTAGTCCCTCTGTTGGGGCTTTTATCACTCCCTGCAGAGTCGCTATGGAGTCCAGGAGAAGCACTACCTCAAAGCGTGTGATTTCTCGGAGAGAAGAGCATGCACCAGTGTCTGTGGAATTCAGTGAGGCGTAAATGAGTGATGTACCCTCAGACACACCTGTTGACGCCATCCCTTGGTCTTGGACCATGTGGTTCATTTTTATGCTGTCTGTATTGTCAACCTTAAAAAGTGAAGAGCCAGTTACCTTACTAGCAATACGAGTTTATTCAGGAATAGCAGAGAAATTGCAGCTCCGCCGTGCAAGCTCTGGTGAGCCATAGGCAAGTCTGGAGAGACGAGGAAAGGTCAGCTTCTATCAGGTCTTAGGAGGAAATTGGGGAGGGGTGTTTTAAACAAAAGTTCAGTGGAGAAGAAGGCGAGTTCGAGGTTGGACAGTTTCTCGTTGGCTGCAAGCGCGCTTAATGTGCTGTTGCTGGGGTGGAGAGGGATCTCCCTTCTTTCTCTTAAAAGTAGGAGATGGAATTCCTATGTGAAAAATGTCCTCTCTTGTCACAAATAATTCTTCATGCTGGTGACGCTCACTGCAGCGAGTGGTACTTATGTGAGTGCTCCCCCTTCAGGGCTTCCCAACTCGTATTTATTTACTTGAGAGAGAGAGAGAGAGAGAATGAGCAGGAGGGGCAGAGAGAAAGAATTGCAAGCAGACTCCACGCTTAGCATGGAGCCCAGTACAGGGCTCAGTCTCACAACCCTGACATCATGACCTGAGCTGAAATCAACAGTTGGACACTTGAGGGACAGAGCCACCCAGGTGCCCCGCCCCTCCCCTGACTCCATTTTCTTTCTTTTTTTTTTTTTTAAAGATTTTATTTGACAGAGAGAGACACAGCGAGAGAGGGAACACAAGCAGAGGGAGGGGGAGAGGGAGAAGCAGGCTTCCCGTGGAGCAGAGAGCCCGATGCAGGGCTCGATCCCAGGACCTTGGGATCATGACCTGAGCCGAAGGCAGACGCTTAACGATTGAGCCACCCCGGCGCCCCGCCCCCCCACCTCCGACTCCATTTTCAATGAGGCTTTCTTTCTCCCTTTCTTTCCTGGGGGCTGGTATGACAAATTACCACAAACTGGGTGGCTTGAAACAATAGAAATTCATTCTCTCACAGTTCTGGAGGCTCTGAGAGAGAATACTCTGGCCTCTCTCCCAGTTTCTGATGGTTGCCAGCAATTGTTAGTGTTCCTGGACTGTGGCCACATAACTCAGCCTCCATGGTCCCACACTTTCTCCGTATCTCTTCTGCAAAGCCCCTATTTCCAAATAAGTCCACAGGTACAGTGGGTTTGGACTTTGACCTGCTTTTTGAGGCGGGGGGACATAATTCAACCCCTAACTCTGTCCAAAGGGGGCGTAGCCTCGTTGGAGTGGCCAAAAGATGAGTAATGACAAATCTCACCAGTTGCTAATACGTGGGGATGGATCTGCGTCAAGCATGGAGAATGCAGAGCTGAGTACAGTCCTGCACTTGAGCAACCTTCAGGCCGATGGTGGAGGCAGACATTGAAGACGATGGTTATGAAACATGAAAACTGCAACACTCAACACAGTGTTGTGGGTTCAGAGGGTTCAGAGGTTACAGAAAGAGGGAAGTTTTTCAGGCTCTGTGCTCCACATGCCCAGACCCTTTTGGGGCCCTGAGGCTTTGCCTTGTCCTGGCGTTGGCTGACAGGTCCCTGCTGCCCTGCTGTGTGTCATAGGAGCACGGCAGAGAGAGGTGACATAGCAGAAACCTGGAGGCCTAGGGCTCTGGGGTGAGAGGTCATAAAGCCAGAAGTCAAAGTATAGAGGGAGGTGGAAAAATCCATTTGGCCATGGGCGGGAATCCTTGCGTAAGACCTTGCCAGCTCCTTGCTGGAACAAAGAACAGTTTACCTGCCTCTTGGTTCTTACATCCAAAGTCTAGCTTATTTGTCACCAGAGCCCTAGCTTAGTTTTTGGCCCATAGGAGCTATCCAATTAGTAATTACTGAGTGTAAAGGTCTGTGAGCAAAGGGTGGGTGGGGGCAGGGAACTGTGTAGCTGGCTCCACTCTTCTGTAGGTTCTGAACCAGTGAGGCAGGTGGTGGTGGGTGAGAAAGGAAGGATGGGGATAGAGACAAATGGCCAGAGTGGGAGAGGAAACTTTAGTATTAACAACATATTCAAATAATTGCACTTACCAATGACGGCCAATAGAGCAAATGGCTAAAGATGAGCGTCATGGGCAGGCCAAATGGGGTGGAGTGGAGAGATATCAAAATGATCAAGAATGGGTGGGTGGGGACCGCAGCAGAGGACGGCCAGCTCATTGTCAGCTGCGTCACTGCAAGAGCTCTTGGCCTCCTCTGCTGTTTGTACCAACTTCACCTCCATTCCTGGAAGTCTTACCAGGAACTAGCTCACAAAACCAAACTCCCTTTTTTTCCCCCCAAAGTTGTTCCCCCTATGCTGGTCTCAGAGGCGTCTCCATCCACCCAGGTCCCAGCAGGACAACCCAGACTCGTGTGTGACCCCCCTTCCTCTCTCCCTACCTCACCACAATCCAAGAAGTTTCAGGGTCCACCTAGTTCTCCCCAGAGATGTCCAAAGCACACTCCCTGTCAGACTCAGGTCAAGCAGTGTCCTCAGGCCAGGGAGGGGACCGAGTGTGGGGTGCTGGAGGGCTGGCAAGCAGAGGCCAGAAGGTGGGGTGTGCAGGAGAGCCAGGGTCAGAGCTGGGAACAGTTGTCCTGAACCCAGTCACCCATGCAGGAATCTAGGTGGAGAGATGAAGTAATGAGACCGAAGCTGGTTACGAGCCAGCCCTGAGCAGCCTGGGGGATGCAGGTTGCGCTGACCTGAGAAGCAGAGGGGGGGTGAGAGAGAGAGAGAGAGAGGCAGAGAAGGGCGAGGAGCCTGCTAACATTCCAAAGGCTGGGAGCCTCTGCTTCATGCGTGCTCACCACCCCATGAGATATAGAACCAACTGTACGAAGTCATCCCCCACCCCTGCACCAGCTGCCTGCCACGGGCCTTCCCACCTCTCCTCTGTACCAGTTCACCTGTTCCTCCGTCCTCACTTCTAGCCTGCCCACCAGTACCTGCTCTCTCCCTGCCACGCTACACTGGACTCCAATGATTTCCACGTAGAAAGATGTATCTGATATCAATAAAACATGTGAACCCAACTTGCTTTCTAGTAGTTGTAATTTTGGAAGAAACTGATCTAAACATGTGAATTATTACTCTATAGTTTATTTTATTCCTCTCAAAAGTATATCCATTTGAAAAACAGTGGCATGTTTTTTATTAGACCATT